CGACCCAGATCTCACCGTACTCACCATCATAGCAGTGCTCCCGGCTCTCGGGGTTCACAATTGCAATCTGCGTTGATACAGGAACCATTCCAGAGTCTTGCACAAGCAGTGCCGACGGGTCCGTTTCAGGGTCAACAGGCATGATTAGCCCCCGACGCAGTGCTCGCATATCCAGCCAGAGCTCGATGGGTTCAATGCACATGTAGGATCTAGACGCCACCATGGGATTCAGGACGTGGGAGTATACGGTGTTAATTGCCGTCCGGTCAAGTCCGGACTGGGCAAAGTGCAGTCTGACCTTCTGGAAGACATCCACCCTTGGTCGAGCGTCCGCCGAGATCATCATGTTCCTCATTTCATGAAGGGTAAACCCCTTGGCGTGCATAGAGGCCATAGCGTGATCCAACATCTGCGGTGTCGCGTACGTATCTTTAATCTTGTATCGCGAGAGGGTGACAAACAGCGACATGGGGTTCTGGGCAAACTCGACTGGCGAGAGGAGATACGTTGGAGTTCCAATGTAAATACCCATGAGGGCTGTGTGGATGAAGCCGAGACCGGTGGTGCTCCGTACGCAGCCCAGGACAGGTCTCGAGCTCGTCATCTGGCACGTTTCCTTTTGAACCTTGCACATTCCCATGATAGTCTGGTGCCCAAGCTGAACGGCGATACGGCGCTGATCAGGTGTCCAGTACGTCCACACGATGACGGGCCATCCCGGACGTATCCATGCAGGGTCTATCGTGAATCCAAGATCACGAAGCCCATTGCTCTGCTTGGGTGGTTTCGAAGTGTTGTACACGTTGGGCATGGAGACCTTGAGAACTTGGGCCGATTGCTTGATATGGCTGGAGACGGCCTTCATCCGAAGCAGATGGTCTACCTCTTGGTTGACCAATATTGCCTTGACATGGTAATCAGAGATGATGTGCAGATAAGCAGGCACATCCTCGTTCAGCCGGTTGGTATCGAGAGGAGCCATCGGGATCACCACACATCCGAGGTTGATACAAGCATGGACGGCGAACACAAACTCCTCCGAGTGTGTGTACATAAGGACAACGTGGTCGCCTGGTCGGAGTTTCACCTTGTTCTTGAGATACATGGCCACAGCGGCGACCTTGGAATCAAACTTCTTCCAGGTAACACCTTTGCCCTCGCGGCCTCTCCCGTCGATCGTGCAGTACGAGAGCTCGTCGGGTTGACGGGCTACACGCCACTGGATGAGATCGGTTATGCATGAGAAGTTATTCAGAGGAGTCGAGGTTCTATCGTCAATAACCACTTCACGCCTGTCAATTCCTGAATACTGCTTGTCTGCAGGGGCCAGGATATCTGCGCGCGATTCAGATGCGAGCTGCGACCAGATCCCGCCCATCGGGTCTATACCAACCGGGAGGTTGAGAACCGCATGCTCTACTCCAAACTTGACGTGGACGCAAGGGAGATTACCGAGATCAAAATCACGTCGGCACAGCATGTTTCCAATCTCGCTTCGGCCATTCTTCGTTACCCGAGGCAGCGAGTTTGGCGCGGTGATCATGACGCAGTATATCCGGATGTGGTGCTCCTGCATCAGCACCTCCATACACCGCTCTGCCAGGGAATCCAGCAAGGCCATGTCTGGCTGTCTAGGCGGACCTCCATTCTGCAAAGGCGCCGTGGAAGCAGATGCTGTCTCCAGGACCACGACCGGAAGATGCTCATCGTTGACAAAGACATCAAACGCAGAGCAGTCGTAAATCTTGGGCACACTCTTGACAATACTGACGACGATATGCTGGACGAAAAAGTACCTGTATTCCGCCAGCTCGTGGCCATGCTCGACCCACTCGACCCTTTGTCGGAGACGATCTTCGTAGAGGCCAAGCACAAAAATCTTGCCCTGGATGACCGTACCCAACAGTCCCGTTCTCAGAAATTCTGGCTCGACTGGGGTGGGTGTGGGCTCGCCAGGCTCAAATTTGTATGACCGAGCGTGGAAGATGATTTCGGTGAACTTGGGCTGGGACCAGAACCCACCGGACAAGGACGGAGAGTCGACCCAGATCTCACCGACCGTGTAGTTCGAGGCAAGCAACCCGCTCTCCGGGTCGACAACCGCGAGCGTGGCATCGGGAATCGGGTACCCAAAGGCACCTACCCGGACCGATCCGGGCTCGCTTTCTGCCCTCTTCCTCGCCTCCTCACCAACGGCCAGGACTACAACCTCGTTTGTTTTCAAGGCTTCGCGATCAAGCAAAACTTCGTTGACCTCTGTTTTGGACTTTTCCTCCGTGGCTGTGGTGGTGCCACCCAGCAAGCTGCCAAACCCGGATGGCTTCTCCTTCTCCTCCTCCTTTTCTTTCTCGTCTTCCGAGTCTACATCTGATCCCAGATCGAGCTTCAAGGGCACGCCCATGCGCTCTTCTCCACCGAGCCAATCCCTCATGCTGATGACCATTCCGCCATGTTCTGGGAGGCAGAGCATGGGCGACACAGCATCCCGCGATCTTGCGCTTCGCAGAGGCCGAAGCCATCTATCGCCCAGGACCTCGTTGAACTCGCTATCGACGGTCAGAGTGTCGATCAAACACAACTTGACGGCTTGGAAATTTGGCTCCATCCCCTTTTTAAAATTTCGAGTCGTCATTGGCTCCTGGAGGTAGTTGTACACGGCGCGCTTGAGTCCTGGGTAATCTGCCACCATGATGGAAGCTCGGTACTTGGAGATGAGATGAGCGTACAGGCCAGGGGATTCGACAGCCTTGTTGTCGAACCAGACTGAGGTGTGGCCGCCGTAGACGTTCAGCAGAACACCCAAGATCATGCCGATGCCCTGCCTTGGCTCGAGGTACGAAACCAGCGTCTCGCTGCCGGTGTTGCCCCCAATCAACTTGCCGTTCTTATCGCGCAAAGAAGGATTGAAGGTGTCACCAGGGCCATTGCGAGGAGCGGTCGAGATTACAGCACTAAGGCAGGCCATCTGGTGCATGATGGTTCGATGGCTCAGTACCACGCCCCTGAGATCGCCCGTGGGGCCTCGGCTGAACTCAATGTATGCAAGGTCCGGAACGGTAAGAGCTGGTACATCATCTTTCCGCTTAGGATGATAGCTGCCAAACTCGTTGGTTTTCCACCACTCGACTCCCTTGGGCCAGGTCAGCTTTTGGGCCGTGATGTCACGCTGGAACGTTTTCAAGTTGTTATCTGTTGTCAAGGCCAGGTGTGCCTGTGTCGACGTCAAAATGATGTTCAAGCGGGCGTAGTCTTGGAGATCGTTGATGGGTACGGCAACGACTCCGGCGATGAAGCAGCCCATGAGAGCAATGACGAAATCGATAATTTCGGAGTCTCGGTACACCAGTGCTACACGATCACCGCGGTAGAGGGAGCTCTTGTCTCTTATCACTTGGGCAACCTTTTCAGCTCTCGAGGCAAGCTTTTCCCACGTGATGGATGCTATTTCTTTGCCTTTGTTATCCAACACCCAGTACGCAGGCACCTTTGCTGTCGTCCGTGCTCGGTGCCTCAGGACAGCAGCCATGTTATCGAAATTGGACATGGGGACGTTGCTGTCATGAGGATCATTGATGCCAAAGGGGACCTCTCTGGGCTCGAGTGGTGACTGGTATTCAAGCGCCTCCGGGGGCGGGAGGTCATTGGCTGTCAGCATTGGCGGAGCAACTGCGGCAGACGGCGAGAAGGCATCGGGTATAGAATATCTCTGGTGTCCGGGGAAGTCGGACGCCGGGTCCCCAGATGTCGGGCCGTCAAAGTGCTGCTGGCCAGCAAAGTCGGAGAAGTAGGCCTGGGAGTCGAGCAAGGTGCCGGTCCTGCCGTCGTACCCTTGCTGTGGCTGGTCGGGATATGCGCCGTGCTGCTCTGGGTTGAAGACGTAGTCTCCCGACACCATGGTCTCGGTCCTTGTGACATCATTGCTGTTTCCCGGGGTGAGAAAAAGGGAGTCACGCTTGGGCTGACCAGCAACACCGCGCTCGGCGATTGGGCCACCAGGTTGTAGCAGACTGGCGGGGTGCATCTGCGGCGACGGGAAGGACGGCGGTGAGTGGTCATAGTCGGCTTGTGGGTGGTTGACTGGTGAATTGGGGCCATCGTAAGGCTGCTGGCCGCCGCCTAGGGCATGCATGGCCGCAGCTCTGTGGCCGCCAGGAGTTTGATAATCGTCATCGTCATCGGGAGAGTGTATGCGCAGGCCAGACCGCGGAGGCTCGCGGGGAGTTTCAGGGTGAACCATATACTGAGATAGCAAGACCGTTCGACGCTTCTGGTAGCTGCGGGGAGGGTCCAGTCAGCGTCGGGGAGGCGGACGAGAGGGGGAAGGGAAGCGGTGCGGTGCTACCGCTACAAGATTACCCTTTTTCTGTGATGTCGCCCTCCTAAGGAAGATATCTACGTCAGTGGTTTGTCTCCCTGGGAGCATGCGGCCAACCAGGGCCAGCACCTACCTCCAATTCTCTATCGAGCTCCTCGAGCTTGTGTTGCAGCTCGGGGCTCAGGTCAGCCATGGCGGGCAATGCAGAAACTGCACCAATCTATGTCGGAGTAGGTATGTTGAAGGGGAGTTTCCGAACAAGCGGCCGAAGGCTTGCCGGTCTGGGTAGCGGTCAATTCAAAAAGCGCAGCCAAAGAGGAGCTTGCCGCCGGCCATGCCATGCAAGTTGGGGACGGGAAGCAGATCCAGGTCCTCGAAATGTGTGGCGTGACGTAAAGCGACGAAGAGCGGGAGGAGGGTCGGCTGGCTGGTTGTCAAACCAAGGTCGGTCTTAGCTGGTTCCAGGGAGAAGAAGGAAATGGAAGTGGAGAGGTACTCGCAGGTACTGTGCGGTGGTTGCGTTGCTCGCGTGAATGCGGGCCAGGATCATCGCCCGCCTGCTGGAGAATCCGAACGGAGAAACAGGGCTGAGCGGGAATAGCTGGCCTCTCGATTGGGACCTATTTAACCTGCGTCCGACACTAAGCTCCCAAAGTACGCCACGGCACAGTTCTGCGCGTATGCGATGGGAGGTGTGGTCGCCTGGGCGGGTGGTGTGGTGCGGCGGACAGGCACTGGCGCTGGTGCTGGCGCTGACGCTGGCACATCGCTGCAGATTGATGCAGATGCGGGGATGGAGGAGCGACAGTCAGCGCCTGGTGGTGGTGGAGGCGGTGCCCAAGTCCTCCCAGCCACCGGTACATCCAGGTACCTACGTTACTTACAGTACCTGTGGCTGCCAGGATAAACCCTCACTTATCAGCCTGGTTCAGACGAATTGCGCAACCCCGACAGGGACTGGTTTCACCCGGACCCAGCGATGCGCAATCGGTGTCGTCCTCGTATTCAACCCCAGCTTTGCTGTTACGAGGAAGACCAGCCTTGCTGTACGAGGAAGAAGACCCCGCTGATATCTTGTGACGCAAATAGTGCTCCTCCTAGCCCAAGCTGTTGTCCCGCTACTGCTACCTACCTAGCCGAATGCTTAGTAGTCACTTCCAAGTTTCTCCAAGTCCCTTTCCTCATCGAGAAGGGAAAGGTGTGTGTGCACCACATCCCGAACGCAGCCTTCATGAATTGAACCATTCCCCACCCGTGCATGGAATATTCGACTCAGATTCGCACACGAGTGTCGGTATTTCCATAGTCACTACGTCTCAAGGTTTTTCGTCAAGCCATATGGGACCGGGCAATCATACTGGAAACTCCTTCACGCCTATCAGTCCAGGGTTCTTTGTCTCCAGTTCCCATTCTCTGATGTTCTTGTGCAACTCTTTGAAACCCTTTCGCTTGGTTCAGGAGCTCCATTGTTTCTTTAGTGTGCCTCAAGTCATTATTCCTCAACTGCGGGCAAGTCTTCTGTCCCCATATACCATGGGACGAAACTCAAACACATTCTATATTGCCTGATAGTTAGCAACCTGATTCAAGACGGATGGAATATTCAGTCACGCCTACTTGGTTGACATTGAGCGAGAGGCTGAGTGGGGCAGTATTCTATATCATTCCATCTGCTCTCTGCTGCTTGAATTCTTGGGGCTCGGGTTTGTTTCAAACACCTTTTGTCCCACTCTGGCCGAGATAAGTTTAGATAAACTGCCAACTATAAGCGATATCTCGTGTTCCTGAACATCAAAACTGATAGACTTTGGGCGTTCTTTCACCATTGTTTCTTCTCGCGGGAGTTCCCGAACATTGTTTTCTTTACTGTCTGCCTTGTTCTCTCGTTTGTTTCCAGCACAACCATTCTTTATCTCAAACAATGATTACAAGGATCATTCACATTAGAGCTGGCCTAGGGCTACGATCGACCCGTCCGAAATGTGACCTATAAGTATTGTGCACATGTTCCGCACTGGGCGAATCATCATTTTCCATGTGAGTTCACCGTTACATGCGTGCTTTCTCTTCGTCCTTTTGCATCGTGAGTTTCATTCTTGCCAGCTACTCGGAAGGCTTTAGTCGGATCCAAACTTGGCCTTACAACCCTACAGCCACTGCGAACCTTCTTGGTGAGCAGCCCAAGATGGGTCACGAGAACATGCCCGGCACCAACAGCCACACCTTACCAGACCTCAACACCGCCGCCTGGATTCTCCCACAAAATGTCAACGACGGCAGTTCCATGAACACCAACTCTATGGCATATCCTCCACAAGGCCAGGCCCTCACGGGCTTTGGACCGGAAGCTCCATTTCATAACCTCAACACCTCATTTCCTTCCGCCAACATCTCCAGCCCTGTGTACGATCCGTATGCCCAGGGCGAGCCAAATCCCATCGGCTTCAGTGGCAACCATGGATCATCTATGAGGCCAGGCTTACAACCGCTCAGACCTCAAGCCGCTCCGGCTTTCCCTAACAGTCAAGTCCTCGATCAAAATCTGTTTAGCCAGAGCAGTTTGCAAGCCCAAGGACCTCCTCTCATGCAAGCCTATCACTACACCAACCAGCCGGCCCTCCAACCCGTTTCTCCATATCCCAATGGTGCGGGGCAGAATGTTCCTAGCAGGATGACCTATCCGGGCACCTATCAGAACCCGCTCCTGGGGCCGACTGGACAAGCCTTGCCGGCCGGTTATCCACAAATCCCGTTGGAGACTCAGAAGGCGCACCGGAGGGAAAAGAGACAGCGCGAAAAGTCGGATTCAGAAGAACCCGCACAAAAGAAGCATAAGAAAACAAAACGCCCTCGGGTTAAAGAACCCCCGCCAGAGTATAACAGGCGCTACCCGAGACCGCCGTCATGGGGCGTGGCGAGTGACGGCTCCCCGCTGTTCGTGTACAACGACGATGGGGAGCTGCGGACTGACAGAAAGTACACCTCTGAGGAGATCAGGACCTACATTGAAAACTGCCCGCGGAAACTGAGGATATGGGTGCAGCAGTCTCCCACCCAAGTGGCCGACCGCCTCGGAAACCGCAACACGTGCATGTGGATGGGTTGCATAAAACAGGGGCACAAGATTGACACGGGCTTCTTCCGCATTGCCTTTGACGAGTTCTACAAGCAGTCAAAGAGGGGGCACAGAGATCCCCTCAGGCCTGCAGCGGTGATGCACATGTGGTGCTATGAGCAGTGTTTCGATCCCTTGGTAGACTATCACCACTACAGACTCAAGGCGGACAAGCGGCCCTTAACAAAGGAGACGAGAAACATGATTAGTATCATAAACAAGGGCAAGCACATCGTTCGAGAAGCGTTCAAGCCATGGCTCAACAATACCGAGTTCACGGAACATCCTCGCCAGTATACCGGTTCTCTCTCCTCTGCGTTGAATGAGTATCACCTATCTAATCGGTCAAAAAACCGTAAGCTCGCTCAAGAAGCGAGCAAAAATCCAGGCGAATGCACGATTAATACTCACAAGGGCGATCTCATGGTATTCTGCCTCCGCGCTGAAAAAGGCAAACAGGACATGAGGCAGAAGAATCAACCGGTCAACCGGTTTCAATTTAGGCCACGCCCAAGAAAGCTGCGGATGATATCCGTAGATGAGGACTCCGACTCCGACTCTGAGTCTGAGATCTTGGAAATCTATGCAGGGCCAGGAGGAGCGGCGATCCAGCCCGAGGAACCATCCCATGCCTTGAAGCCCCTTGGCGAGAAGGCTTTGAATTCAAGAACCCCGGCTGCAGATGTTGGCTCTCGCCAGAAAGGCTCTCACCCGGGGGCAGATGGGGCAGAGAATGAGGAGCCCAAGGGGTCTGTGAGAAACGGCCTGGAAGATGACAAGAGAAGGGGGATTACTCACGAAGAGGCCCCCTTATATGAATTGAAGTTACCAGGGCTTGAAAATCCAACTGAACCGGAACTGGGGCCTACAGAACCCGGCTTATCACTAGATGCTTATTTTTTCACTGAACAGGAACTGGGTTTTACAGAAAATGGCTCACCATCAGATGTTCTTTTTGGAGAAGAGCCCGCTATTGCAGACGCTGAGAAATTTGATTTCTTCTTCAACGAGCTGCAAAACGATTTAGACTCGTCAAGTTTCGTAGAGCAGCCAGTCCCTAAAGAATCACAATCTCCCGGAGAGCTACAAAAACCCAAGGAACTACCAGAACTCAAGCTACCAGAATCCAAGGAACTTCGAAACCCCGAACTGCCAGAACTCGACGAACTGCCAGAACTCGAGCTACCAGAACCCAAGGAGCCGCCGAAACCCAAGGAACTTGAAAAACAACCCAAGGAAGTCTCAGGCGTTGAGGATTTGTCAGGTTCTGGGGGGTCACAAGTAGCCGAGGCTGGACCTGGCGGGGCGTCTTGTTGAGATTGAGTATTGGAGCTTCATTTGCTGGCGAAGAGCACAGGAGAGGGGACTGTTTAGCGTGTTTTGGTTTTTTTTCTTTCTTTTTCCCCCCTAAGAAGTTATAATCCTCTGTAAAGGTTTTCTCTTCTGTAGCAAATCCGATCGCAGCCGAGGCCGCGAAGTGTAACCACCTCATTGTAAGACATGTTGTGAGACAGAGACGTACAGTGACGCACTTCCACTCCCATTCAACCTTCGTGACCTACCACAGTTCATGAATATTCCTTCAGGGAAGATTCCTAGAAAGAATACCCAGCTTCCTAAGCGAGATCGGATCCTTGAATGTCTGAGTAGAGTTTGAAGATGGTGAGCCGCGGACATGTGAAGAAGACTTACCCCGGTCCAGCCCTTGATCGCTCGGAATCCTGCCGGGCAATGCCTAATCACATGTATCTCCAGTGATATCAGGACGGCAAAGAGCTCGCGGATATAGCTCCCGCCGGGAACAAACATTGATGTCGCCACGCACGAGCCCATGCCAAGTCAGGCCGGCTAGACGCCCGACAAGCAGTGGGCCGGCTTGTGGAAGCCTTTGGATGCCGTGTTAGCTCCAGCTTCCAATTGAGCGCTCTGGATCAATCGCTAACCCAGTTGGTGCGGTGTATTCCATCCACGGCCGGACTGCCAGGCACCGCACGGGCTGAACTGCTGTAAATGAACAACTCACGTCCTGAAAGCAGATAGCCCGTCCAGGGATCCAGTTTTTGCTACCTAAATAGGTACACGGTACATCTTTTGTCTCGCGGCCCCCGAGCAGATGCTGTGGATCAAGTCAGTACCTGCGACTTGTCGTTGCAGAAGCCCGGCGATGGAACGCACCATTGGAACGATCCACAGGCTACAGCCGCCTCAGAGGTCTAGGTCGGGTGGGTCTTCAGCTGTTCCTTGGCTTCCAGGACCCTTCAACGGCAAACGGCCTCGCCGAAGGAGGGGTCACCCCCTGGGATCCATGACCCTGCTTCTAGAATTCCATCCGCTTGTAACGTGTACAACAACGAGGCGCATCGGTGTGCGTGATGATTGGGACCAGCGTTGCTCGATGTCTCGGTGGCTGTCCTTCTCCGTAGTAAACAAAGCCATGTTATTATTGTTATTTGGACAGATGGCATGATGCTCTCATTCAGATGGAATTATGTAATACATAGTACCTTACTGCTTTTACTCACCCCGCTCAAGGAGGCGCACAAAGAAACCAGCCATGGACGTGCTCCAAACCCAGTTCGAGCAAACGTTCGCCGTCCTCGATGGCGGAAAGGAAACCTCCGTACCGTACAACGGGCCTCCTTCCATAGAACATAACTCAATACAATGCCAGAACAGCCAACCTCTGAGTTGCCGACGCTGCCACAGCGCGATACTTTGATATATGCCTGAGCAGCGTAGAGGCTGGATGCCATACGTCATGAATGCAACGGCCAGGGACTGGGAAGGTGCAACCCCACATCCCGAGCTGGAATCGAGAAATTGAAGTCGTGTCGTTGCGGTTATGTCGGCCAAGCCAGGGCATGTTCTCCCTCCTGGCGCCCTTTGGACCAGGCTTTGGACTTCTCGGGGGCTTGACCGAGACAGATCAGCACGATCCTTCTTCCCTGCGGTGTGCGTGCTCGGTTCAGGTAATGGGATTTACGTGAGAGGGCCTTGCGCTCAGCGCTATGTGGCCTGCAAGCTCTCCCGCCTTGCCCTTCTGGGGAGGAGAGCGCTGAGGTACAGGCTACTTGTGCCCCACAGTATTATCCTCAACGTCAAATGCAGCACGTTCCGCTAGATCGGGCGGCTTGACACTCTGACTCAACCAAGGTGGCACCTAAGGCAAGGCTAGCGGCAGGCAGGCGGAAGGGCTGGCGAACGTGCCAACACTGGACTGCGGCTGCCCGTTGCTAGCCAATGCGCCTCGCTGCCTCTGCTTGCTTCCAGTCCTTCCTCCTTCCATTCCAATGCGCAGTTGTGGTTTAAGTGCTTATGACTGACATTTGAGCCGCCGGCATCTGTCTGCCAGTGGAGCCGCCATCAATCGCTGCAGCCTTGAAGCTGCGCATGTCTCCCGTCTCCCATCGCCGCCAGGTCTGCTCAGCCAACAACATCGACTCGATCAACGGCCAATCAGCCCGCCGGCCATCGCGACTGCCCCCAGTTACCTGCCCCCAACATTTCGGGTGCAGCACGTTGAGGGAAGATCCCATCCTGAACAGATTGAGTTTAGCGGTTGATGCCGCACGGTAGCATCTTGTCTCCGACCAAATCTCAGCTCAGCAGTGGTTGGTCTCGAACTGCCAATCTACCCCCAACCCCAGCCCCATTCTTCGTATGATTCGGTCGGGGTCCCCGTTGACAGCACGTCGGAGAATATACTCGCCCCAGACACTACTGCCGCCGCCCGGATAGCAGGTAATCTCTGTGCCTGTGCTCATGTTTGGCCTTGGCTTCCTACCTTATTACTAGTCACGGCCGCTCCCTTCGACAGTCCTGTGCGGCGTATTCATCCACCCTCCCTCCTGTCGAGTCTCGTTCGGAGACGCAGGCTCACCCTCCCTGAAACCCTAGACTGATCTACGTTTCTGGACCAGAGCCTCATTTGTTAGCACTTGCCTCTTTCTCCTCTCCCACTGCCATCATTTGGATCCCGTACGCCAATTCCCAGACGCTGAACTCCAGCTCCAGAAGCTGGCGTCCCGTCTATCGCCTGTGCATGCATGGTGGATCTTGGTGCCGTTACAAGTCGCAGTCGAGTCAGCCCCGGCCCTGTAAACCGGTTTCTTACAGCGGTTCTTAGCCCTGTGCTCTTTTCCCCTGATCGCCGGTGTCGCCAGTGATTGGCTTCACAGACATGAGGGACAGCAGAGATCCCGCCCTGCAAGTCATCGTTCTGGTGAGTTCCTTGTTCTCTTAGCTGATTAAACCATCCGGTTACACCTTTTTTCATCTCTTGCTTTGGCCATTTGATCCTCGCTGTCTTCCGCCATGCGTTGGCCACTCCCGGTCCAATCACCTGATTTGCTTCTATTGGGGAATCCTTGCAAGTTGTCCATAGCTTTGGTCATATATCATATCGAGCGTTTTCTCGGCCAATGGAGTTCTTTCTTTTGCTTGTGGATCACTCTCTCATCTCATTGTCAAGAAATCTGGTCGGATGGGGAGACGAACAAACAGAATATGCTCCATGGTTTGATGTATACAAACCCTCGTCCAGTGCAGCACGGTGGAAAATACACATGCCTCTCTGTCCATCTATGCTTACGACCCCCATCTGCAACTCTTTTTCATTGAGCCTCACGCAACTGACATGCCTCTCTAGGGCTCTGGAGGTGGACCCCAGGAGTCAAACACAACTGCCTTGCTCGTCCGATCTGTCGCCCAGGAATGGCGCAAGGGCTCCATCGTTGCCGTTGATGCCGGCGTGCACCTCTCCGCCATCACTCGCCTCGTCAAGGAGTCTCTGCCCTCGCCTGTTCCTTCGCTGCCGCACACCTTAACGTCAGGTCCATTTGCGGGCCTCAGTTTACCGTTCCATAACGCGGACACCAATGCTCAGCACATTTCCAGCTCTCTCGTCGACGCTTATCTGATTACCCACCCCCATCTTGACCACATCTCGGCATTTGTCATTAACACGGCAGGCCCGCCTGGAGCGCGGCCAAAGAAACTGGCCGGGCTGCCAAACACCATTCATGCATTCAAGACGCATATTTTCAACAACGTCATTTGGCCAAATCTCAGTGACGAAAACAATGGCGCTGGGCTCGTGACCTATCTCAGGCTTGTGGAAGGTGGGAGTCCGGCTCTGGGGGATGGTGAAGGAAAGGGATACTCGGAAATCTGCGATGGCTTGCTGGTCAAGATTTGGGGCGTGAGCCACGGCCATTGCATTGAGAAGCACAGCCATCGGGGCTCGGCATCGAGTGCGTCGGGGGGATTCATCAACCACGACCTGCTGTCTCAGACCCCTCGGAGAGATCCGTACAGCCACGCGGCCTCGCAAACCACGCCCCGGCGCCAGAGTCTTCTCAGCCAGGCAACTTTCGGTGCAGGGGCCGCTTCACCGAGCGCCGAGCAGGAAAAGGTTTGCGTCTACGACTCGAGCGCATATTTCATCCAAGACCAGGACCATAGGAGAGAGGTGCTCATCTTCGGAGATGTCGAGCCCGATAGCCTGTCGCTGAGCCCACGCAACCTACAAATCTGGCAAGACGCCGCCCCCAAGATTGTTGCCGGAAATCTCGCCGCCATATTCATCGAGTGCAGTTACGACGACAGTCGCTCAAATGACCGGCTCTTCGGGCATCTCAAACCTGAATTCATAATCGAGGAACTCCTCGTTTTGGCTGTAGAGGTTGATTCTGCCCGCAAGTATCAGCATGTCGCCGAGTCGAAGAAGAGAAAGCGGATGAGCGATCCCGGAATCAGGCATCGAGGTGGCCCTAAGCAGTATCTGACGGCCGTGACTCCAGCTTCGGAAGATCCTCTTTCTCCAAGGGCCGTCGAGGACCCCGCCGGGTTCCCCGGCAGTCTGAACACAGGACTAGACACACCGCATATTGCCACACCAACAACGGAGCTGTCTCTTCATGAGATTGATCTGGTCGTAGCCCCCAGCCCGTCCATGCCTGACCCAAGAAAACAGCTCGAGGGCCTCAAGGTGATAATCATGCACATTAAGGACCGACTAACAGATGGTCCCGATGTCGGTGAGATGATATTGAATGAGTTGCAGGAGTATGAGAGGGAGGTGCAGTTGGGCTGCGAGTTCATTATCGCCCATTCTGGGCAGAGCTTTTACTTCTGATACCATTTTGATTCAATGTTTTATGATGCGTTTGGTTTCACTGTCCACGGAGTTACGGGGCTGGTATTGCCTTCCAGCGAAACTCCCCCCTTTTTTTTCCTTTGCTTGCTAAATGGGTCAGCGCTGGCAGTGTTAGTATGAAGGTTATGTCTAGGTCATTTATCTGTCTATATATCCGCACATATATATCTATGGTCTGAAATACAATGTACCATTGGCCTGGTCCATCGCTACGTGTACGCATGTCTGGTGATAATGATAAACCACGATCACTATTGCAAGCAGCGTGCCAGTGCATCTAGAGCTCGGGCAAAGGTTTCTACTTCTTGGTATCATTGATCTTCTCAAACCCCTCTCGACCTCCGGCATCCTTTTCAAAGTCCGGCCTGAGAAGCTCAATCCCCTGCGTCGTTCTCCCATAAGTGATGCCACCCAGGCGACTCATCGGTTTCAGAACCTGCACCTTGCTGTTAGCATTACAAACTCCAAAATATCACGACAGAATGGGTCAAGGCCGGGGAATATGCAAGTTACAGAAATATCAATCAGATTCTGGTCCTCGTTCAACGCATCCTCCCGGACCCAGAACCTCGTAGCCTCGAGGATGGCAATGGTGCCGCCCTTGCGGCCCTCGACGACCCTGCTGTCGTACTCCCTCACGTAGTCGAGCTTGGCCTCGATGCTGAACACGGCCTCCTTGACCCGCGCGCACGCCACCGTCTCGCAGTCGCCCGCGGGGGTCAGCCCGGACAGCGTCCACTCGGAGACGCCGTGCGGGGCGTCGACGCTGGCGGCGTTGGCGGCCTCGACGAAGTGCTCCGAGATGATGTTGACGACGCACTCCCCGGTCTCGCGCAGGTTGCGCAGGCTGTCCTTGGAGGCCCTGTCCGGCCCGGGCCTGGCGAAGCCGACGGCGAGGAGGGGCGGGTCCTCGCTCACGACGTTGAAGAAGCTAAAGGGGGCGAGGTTGGCGCTCGCGCCGTCCGCGCTGAGGGTGCTGAGGAAGGCGACGGGCCGCGGGGTCACGCCCGAGATGAGGAGCTTGTAGTTGAAGCCCCAGGGGCGGCCGGGCGTGTAGGGGTCGATGGCGATGTGCTTCTTCGCCTTGCCGGCCTCGTCATGGAGGCGGTTGGCGCCGTCGCCAAACTTCCAGTCCGGGGCCGCGGTCTTGGTGTAGCGGAAGTCGGCGGACGTGTCCCATTCCTCGCGGGACGCCTCGACTTTCTTGAAGTCCGGGTGGGGGTTGCGGCCTACCTTGTCTGCCATGATGAAGCGTCTGTGCCCTGGGGTGTCGGTTGTGATATCTGTGATAAGGCTATATCGCGGGGCAAGCAGACGAGGGGGGACGTAGGGGAATGCAGAGGTTCTCACTCTTTGGAAAATGTGTGAGATGAAACTGGAGAGGGGGGAACGTATGGCCATGAGATCTACGGTGGTAGGAACAACCCCCTAAGTAGGTAAACTAGATGCATGCCCTTGGTTGCGTGCTTAGAAATACATGACAGTTCCCACATGTTTGGAAATAGGAAACCGTTCACTAAGATACAGATGCTTAGGCACTGGACTAACCTGCTAGTGGCTCGGGCGGCACGACAGCACAGTATTCATTGCTGGATAGCCAAAGGAGTTACTGGGCTTTCTGTTACATGGAAATACCGAGATTTATTTGCACAATGGGGAAGGCGACATGACAGAGCAACAAAGGAGGGGGTTGATGGTATTGCAGCCTGAAAGGTATAGGTTAAGGCGGGTTGCTTGATTACATAATGATCCACCCCCACCTGCGGGGATGCTTATCGTGCCTGTGCCTCGTCGATAAGCGAACCAAACCAAAAAAAAAAGCGCCAAGGCTGATTCTCATAATGCGCCGCGCCGGTGAACAGTCATTGCGGCCACCCACCAGCACAAGGCATACTCCAAGTCGGCATCGTTAAATATTGGTCAATGGAAGCATGGAGCCGATGGAGATGCCTTTCATTCACTTCTCTCTCTTTCCTCAAGCCAACTATTAGCTTGAATATACAGCGTTCAATCAGCTCGGCTTCAGAAATAAGACGGCGAGGGCGCGACCTCAAACGTCGCAGAAAGAAGAGCTTCCAGGCGACGGGCCCCGACCAGCAACGCCAACATAAGCGCAGCACGAAGCCTCCCGGCGAGGTGAACGTGATGGCTTCCCATGTCGAGATAGCGACCACGCCGTCGGCAGACACCCCGCACACATGCCTGTTCCTACGCAATGAGAGGACCCAGTATATCTTTGGCCGCGCTGGTGAGGGCACCCAGCGTGCATTCACGAGCCGCAAACTCCCCGTCTCCGGAACCAGCAACATCTTCCTCTCGGGCCATGTGGGCTGGGAACAGAACGGTGGCCTGGTCGGCTACCTGCTGACTGCAGCAAACTCTGCCATGGCCGCGCTGGACGCCGAACTGGAGAACAACGAGCGCCTGATACAGAAGGGCAAGGCCCCCAAGCCTTTGAGCTCCCAAACCGTATTCAAAGTTCATGCCGCCGACAACATTAGCCACATCCTCGCCGCTAGTCGCCGGTTTATCTTCCGACAGCCTTTGCTGCTCAAAGTCCACGAATACCGCCAGAATGCACGGGATATCGATCCCGCGAGCATCGACCCCGACTATCAGGATGACTATATAAAGGTCTGGAATGTTCCCTCCGATGGGATACAGGCTACTAGTCCTCTTAAGCGCTCTCGCGAAAGCTCCACCGAGCCTGAGATCCAGGAAGGATCGTCATCACCAACTTTTAAGGAAGGCCGTGTCCCTTCCGATCCTGCCTTTGCACAGTTCGTCACCGAGAATTTTGTGTTCAATGGAGTCCTGGACAACAGCCTGTGTCTCCTCCAGACAACTAGGGGCGAATTGGGCCCGGACGATGTTGCGTTCGTGAAGCGCGAATCCTCCTTTTCAAGGTATGTCCCTTCAGACACCGACAGTCAGGATATGACAGTCTGGGTATACCCAACTACAAAGGAGTGGAAGGAGAAGGAGAAGGAAGGAAAGCTGGCTACTCAGTACCTAGAGCACGTGGCGCTCCCCAAGACAAGCTACTCGCAGACTTCGATGAGCTATATTGTGAAGACGATGGACCGCAGAGGAAAATTCAACGTCGCTGCCGCTAATTCACATGGGGTTGAGAAAATGGACTACAAGCGTCTGATTGCAGGCGAGTCGGTCCAGGGCAAAGATGGGCAGACGGTCACCCCCGAAATGGTCTTGGGTGATACAATGCCCGGAAAGGGCTTCATCGTCGCGGACATTCCTGGCCACGAATTCCTGGACTCCTTCTTCCGGCGCCCCGAGTGGAAGGATACACGCCTGATGACCAACATCTTCCAGGTCTACTGGATTCTTGGCTCGGGTCTATCGACAGATCCCCAAGTTCTTAAATTCATCGAAGACCACCCCGAGTTCCGCCACATCATCTCCTCTCCAGAAACTTGCCCCAACATGATAACGCATCCCGGTTCCGCAGAGCTGCAAATGAAGCTGCATAGAATCGACCCCGACAGGTTTAGCATCCTGGACTATAACAACAGGACGCAGGCCACGGCACCCTCTAATTCCACCGTTACATATGGAAGAACAGGGCACAGTGTCCAGCTCATGCCCAAGTTGACTGTCAACGAAAAGAACATCAGCCCCTTTACCGATCTTGCCGGGGCGTCCGTGGAAGTCAGCGCTGCCGTCCTCCAACTCGCCGAGCAGGGGAGAGCCAAAGCGTCCGACCCTACCTTCCTCGCACAGGTGGAAGAGGCGGAAAAGGACATTCCAAGCAGAGACACGGAGATCATCTGCCTGGGTACCGGATCTTCTTGCCCGAGCAAGTACCGGAACGTCTGTGGAACTCTCATCCGCGTCCCTGGCATCGGAAGCTACTTGCTCGATGCCGGAGAGGGCACCAATGGACAAATCCGCCGTCTGTTTGGAGACGACGGGGCCCGGGAGATCATGCGAGATCTAAAGTGCATCGTCGTCAGCCATCTTCATGCTGACCACCACCTAGGTGCCGTCACGGTCCTTAGGGAGTGGTACAACCAGGCTGTAAGGGACGGGAACAAGGCCAACCTGGCCTTGGTCTGCAATGGAGCCTTCCGTAGCTTCCTGGAGGAGGTGTCGCTGGTGGAGGATTTCGGCTTTCATAGACTCTACTTCCCGAGCTGCACCGCCAACCCCGGTGCCCCTGACCGGCCGCTCGCAACCGAGGAGCACTTCCGAGGAAACGACTGCGGCCTGACCGCGGTCAAGCGCATCCCAGTCAACCACTGCAGGAGGTCAATGGCCACGGAGCTCGAGTTCTCGTCGGGCCTCCGCGTCGCCTGGTCCGGCGACTGCCGGCCGTCCTCCGACTTCGCGCAGGCCTGCAGGGGAGTCCACCTCCTCGTCCACGAGTGCACGTTTGACGACGACATGAAGTCCCACGCCTCCGCGAAGAAGCACTCGTGCCTCTCCGAGGCTCTCGGCGTCGCCAAGCAGATGGACGCTCGCCGCACCCTCCTCACCCACTTCTCCCAGCGCTACGTCAAGGCCAAATCGGTCTCGGGCAGGTTGGGGAGCGGGTCGCAGGAGCAGGCTGTGCTGATGGCCCACGATTTCATGCGTGTAAGGCTGGGAGACTTCCAGAAGGCAGCTTGCTACATGCCTGCCATTGACAGGCTGATGGAGGACCTGGCATCATGAGCTTGATCACATAGGATAGACACTAGAATTTAAAAAAAAAAATAGATCTTCATTGTACAATAGGAAAATCCCAACCTATATATTGATCAAGATGAATATAACACAAAGCCACCGACTACGCCTTGTACCCAAGCAAAAAATTGTGCTATATATGTCGATAAACAAAGGAAATTACGAATGTGTGTGTCGTGTCCGTGGGCTCTTGCGAGCGCAGAATCATGCTCCTTTATCCGAGCACCGGCGAATTCTAGCCTTGTAATGTATGTACAAGAAGAATTTCTGTTTGAGATCCATTAAAGAGCGGAAGGAAGGAAGGAAGTATGAAAAAGAATAAGAAAGGGGGGTGACAAGGGGAAGGGAGAGATGCCCCTGCCTACGAGTTATGGTTCCCTGAGCTTAGGGAGGTCTGCCCCCCAGGAACAAATAAGACGGTATCGAGTCTCTGCCGACACGGATTGTTGCCCGGCCCTCTAGTGCCCTCAATGTCTGCTGGTTCAGATGCTTGGGGTTGTAGTCCACCATGGAGATCATTCGCCCGTTCGGGGCGTACGGCAGTTTCGACGTGGCAACTGAGGGTGACGGTGGCGGGTTTCCTCCCTCGGCATCGTAGACTGAGGAAACAGGTCGCCGCTGGTATGTCTCGGCTGGGGGAAAGGGGGGGATCGGGGGTGGAGGATAGTATTCAGGGGACAGGCCAGCTTCTGATTGCCGTGCTGTATGTACCGAGACAGTCGCCCATGATTGTTTCCGCGTCGCATGGCCTGAGTCAATGGGCGGGAAGTTGATTTGTTGGGGTCGGATTTGGAGGGGTGGAGGGATTGCGCTGCCCCTTAGACCGTCTAGGTTGGTTGTATAAACCTTTTGGCTTAGGAAGACATCTGCCTGGGTGAGTTCGGCATAATCTTCCTCAGAACTGGGATAGTCCTCTACATAGGCTCTGTTGTTCTGGAAGGGATCTACCTGTATAATTTCAGCGTATTCTTCCGAAATGGCACAGTCGTCTTTTCGAGTTGCGTTGCTCCGAAATGGCTCCTGAAATCTAGGGTCTTCGTCCTCCGAATCGGAATGTTCCTCAACATGAGGAGATAGATACACTGGTACTACCCAGCTTCGACGAGATGTAGTGCTGCCGAGGTGCTCTTCTTGGATTCCTGCGGTAGTGTGCTTGGGAAAGTGCAGCGGGTTTGGATCAGAAACCAGAGAATCCTTTTCAGACCGCAGGGATGGAGACATTGTTCGTCCTGAGTGCCCCGATTTACGATCCGCCTGCTCCAGCGCTGCAGCAATCAAGGGCTTCAAATGGTGAGCGTCGTTCCGAATTCTATTCTGCCGACGTTCGTCATAGTGACGTGCCCAGTGCTTGAGAAGACGCAGGAGCTTTGGTCTGCGCCTCCTTTTCTTCTTCGGTCCAGTAGCCTTCTCTACCATCTCCCGCGCCCTGACTCCGGCGAAGAGATCAGCCAGCATCGACCGATCCCCGCCTACCGCAGCACAAATACAGGCCGCGCATGTTGTCTTCCTGGTAACGTTCTGGCCTAGAAGATTCCTGATCCCCATTTTCACAACTCTGTAGCTCTGAACGTTTATGAGATTATCCTCCTTCGTTCCAGCAGGCCTCGAGGACCACCACGGATCTTGTTCCATAACCTCGTCGTCCATCGGGGACTGCTCGTTGATACCATTCTCGTCGAGGCATACGCTTCTAATACATTCGAGTCGATCCAGCCAACTGATTACATCGGGATGATGTGGCGTGCCGTGATAGTCGTCCCGAAGCCTCTCGAGCTTCTGATCGCACAAATGAACAATCAAGTATTTCAGGTGATGTATCACCCTCGGGTCTAGTTGGGCGTGCGAGGTGCAGAGCTCGGCTCTGCCAGCACGGGTAGGCATGTGGAATGAGCGGCTCAAGTTAGATATCGTGGCCGCCAGGCTGTACTGGCGCCGCAAAGGCCAGTCCGCGTTCGAGACCTTTTCCTTCTGATCTTTGAGCCACTCCTCGCTGGGGTAGGCAATCGTTTCGTTTGGTGGCATGATAAGAATGGATGTTAGTTGGGCCACGGCTTCCTTGGACATATCCTGCAGGCCACGACCACACCGGGCGCGACCACCCGGCGCGTCGTGCCTGGGGAACAAACCGGAATCTTTACCTGTGGCCCTCTCAGTGCGTTGATGATCATATGTCATGTTTCAGTGACAAGCAGCGAGGGTTGCCCCCCCTCTGGGATGTGGGGTAGCACGGTTATTTATACTTTGGGAGAGAGAGAGAAGACGATGTTTGGTCTGGACAAGTCCGACAATCACGAGATTCCGCAAACGCAAGTGAAGAAGGGTTGCGAGTCGAGTGGAGAGTGGCCATAGCTTCTTGTGTAACTTGGGGAGAAGAGCCCTGTTTAATATAGCCATCGATGTTACTTGAAACTTGGTCATCCGATTTGCATTTGGGTCCCGAGCCTGAGTATAGTTCGGTTTTACAAAGGGCCGTTGATGAACGTTGAACACTATAGACGAGTGTGAGAACGAACATGTTGAGTCACCGGGCAGGTTCCTATGAAAGCGCCGGTTAGAGAGGCTTGTTTGTAGTCTTCCTGTCTTTGTGTGGGAAAAGCTTTGACTTCCCTGAGCGCATCACGCTGAACAAACAGCATGCCGAGACATTAACAACAATGACCATTGCACTGAGAACCAGAGAGGCCAAGCCGAACATGACTTGGTATGTTTTGTTTGCCGCCATTAACGGCAGCGAGGATTATAAATCGCACGCAAACGAAGGTTTCGGCGGTGTCTCAACTCGTTTTCGAGCGGGTTGGACATGTGATCGATATAGTAAAGAACGAGATCTTGTCCCATTAGATAAAAAAAACTTGGTATCCTTGAATCTGTTGAAAAAGAAAAAAACTCCTCTCGTGAGCTTGCCTCGCCTGTCCAATGTCCTCTCAATTCAATAAAAGCATCCCCGTTTTCAATGTTGGCAGCTCAGTCCCAAAGTCCAGTCATTATGTATCGCCCGATACGTTAGAAGATGAAAAATAAAGAGAAAAGAGAAAAGTAAACCGAAGGCTTGCGAAGAGATAACATGTCAATCATCCCGAGATTCGAGGAGCAATAGACAAAGCCAAAAAAAGACTCGAATCGGGACAGTCAATCCCTGCTCTCTCGTTCTCTTTTATAGGGAGAAATACAAAATTGCATGCCTAGCCCCTCTTGTGAATATTGAGACTTCTCATTCGATAAATCGCCTGTCCCAATGATTGTATACATCCTTTGATTCCATAACTCCTCCATCATGCGTGCTTGGTCGTTATCTGAGGTAGCCTTTACCTATCGTAATAAGAATAAATAGAAGCGGGAATAAATTAAAGCGCGGTGAAAAACATAGGGAAGATAATTAGTGATATGCGGGAACGGATAGACCTTGTTGTTCCCGCATCTTCCTCTCCAGGCGAATCTTGGCAGCTTCAGTGCCGTCATCGTTATAGGCCATCTCCTTGAACCACTCGTGGTTGAGTGCATCCTTTGCGGTGATACGCTGTGCGGGATCATAAACAAATATCTTCTTGAGAAGATCCCTAAAGTTCTTCATGAACGTATTTGTTTGTGGGATGATGTCCTGTACCTCTAGTTAGCGGTCTGCCTCCTTTGTTGTCTATTCATCAAGCGTACGTCTAGATGTTTCATGGCCTTGACAAACCGACGAGAGCCTCGGGTTGTCTCCGTGTTCGGATAGTCAAGTTTGAGGCGCTTGAAGTACCTGAGATAAGGTCAGAACCGGGAATAACAAGATGAAGCGGGGGCAAGGGAACTCACTTCGAAGCGCTGTTGGCACCATTCCGACCAGACATCTTGTTGACATTCTGAACAAGGTATGAGTCAATCCTTCTGCCGATGACTGCCTCCATCATTGCCAGATGCTCAAGATTGTCATGGGTTTGAAACAGAGCGTCGCCAGTGAAGAATTCGACAAGAATGCACCCAATGCTCCAAATGTCGCAGGGGAAAGACCATCCAAGCCCAAGAATAATCTCTGGGGCGCGGTAGTGTCGAGTGGAGACCACGGATGAGTGATATTCATCCTCGAATGTGGCAGAGCCAAAGTCAATGAGACGAATCTCTGTATCCAGCAAAACTCGCCTCTGTGTTGCGCTTCTATTAACCGTGGTGGAAGAGGACGGTATTCTCCGGCTGTATGTGAAGGTCTGATACGATTGATCGCAAAGTAAGATGTTCTCTGGCTTCAGATCTGTGTGGATGAGGTTCAGGTCGTGAAGAACTGGGGAAGAGTTAGAAAGATTGGCTAGAAGAGAATCAAATTGTGAGATGGACTTACATGCAACGCTGGTAAAAAGCTGGCGGGCAAAACTTTGGATTTGGCTATTGGGAAAGGGCACAAAGCCATTTCCTTTCAGGAAATCAAAAACGCTCTGGTCAAGGAGATCCATGACAATGCAGATGTGGTTGCGATAGTCGAAACAATCTCGCAGATGAATGCACCTGTTTCTGTTCTCCTCATCGTTCATTTTGAGTGTAGCTAGCACGCGAAGCTCGATCTTAGAGGCGTCGCGGTACTTCTGAACAGAACGGATGATCTTGACAGCCACATGCTTGTTTCTACCTCGGTCGTAGGCCTTGACAACCTTGCCAAAGGTGCCCTGGCCGAGGAGGCGAACGATTTGATCTGTTCTTGATCAGTATCTATGCAACGGTATTCACAAAGCCGCAAGGGGAAGCGGGAGAAGGACTCACATTTTTCTGTAAGCCCTGCATCGGGCACAACGATATAGTGCCCATCATCATCATCAACCGTCTGGTTCCGCTGGCTGGGAGGCTATAATCTTTCGCATCAATGCGCTGAAACAAGCGACATCCAGGTCTTTCATCGGATTACTTACATCATGGATGACTTTGACACGAACATCCGGGGCCTTCTTTGGTGGGAAGGGTGGAGGTTTGTATGTGAAGCATCGGTTACCGAGGACATCCGTGTCCCGCCGTTTGGCCTCATTCGCAACCTGCTGCCGAGTTCGTTTTCGTTTGAGTGGTAGCTGGGACTCTTCATGCTGGCTCTGCGAAGAAAGTGATGTGGGGGCCGTGGAGTTCAAGGCCGATGTGGTACGGTCACTGGAGATTGTGGCGGAAGAAGCACTGTGGCCGTTGATGTACCGAATATGGTACCCAGAAGTGCCCGGTGCAGTCTTGGGGTCCTCGTCTCGTCTCCTTTTCCTGGTGGTTTGCCCGTTGGGAGAATTAATCGAGGCTGTTTTCTTGTTTGTGTTTTGTTCGATGACGGCTGCCCGATTTGGGGCACTGGTTTGTTTTGCACTGGCATCCGGTTCGGGTGTATCATCATCAATGACAATGATTTCGCTGGGGAGCCCATTGCGATAAAATTCCTTCCAATCAGGTCCATGAGAACGACGCCGCTTCTTGGCAGGCTGGCTATGCATGTTACTTCCTGTGTAGTGGGCGTCTTGTTGAGAATTCTGTCTGGAAGCGGAGTCAAGCAGATATTCACCCTGAGCCTGGTGTTGAGACTGGTGGGCATGAGGTGGAGGACGGGGAGGCTTTTGGGTTACGCCATCCGAAGGAGACGAGTAGAGGTTTTGCGAAGGATAGAAGGGCGGCAGTCTAGTCGATGTTGGGGTAGAGCAGGTCTCTGCAACAGAGGTGGTGGTCGTCGAAGCTGAATATAGTGACGGCAGGCTCGCATGGTTGGTGCTGCTGCCAGTACTGGTGTCGGTCACCTTTGTCGCTGAAGAATGTGAACTCGTAGGGCGGTAGTTGGCGGACACAGCGGGCTGGCCTTGGTGGTGCGAGTGTACGTAGGACGAGTGAGGGTGCAGGTGAGGAGGGTGTGGGTGAGGGTAATGATGGGGATGAAAAGGAGGCAGCGTCGCCACGGCTGTCGTAGGCGTCGACATTCTGGCTGGCTTGCCTGACACTCTCGCGTGTTTCTCGACGACAGAAGGGCGTGTGGTCAGTCGAAGGAGGACATGAGAGACCGACTCAACAACCTAGAAGGCCAAAGGGTCGACGGACTTCAAATGGGAGCGGATCGGAGAGCGAGGAGTAGGTACAAGTGTGGTGTGGGCCTTGAGGCACCTTGCCCTGTGCTGTACTGTGCTGTGCTGCGCTGCGTCCGCTACGTACATACCTGCGACTGCGCCTGTCGCCCACTCAGCCGTTGTAGAGGTAATCCCACAGGTGCTGTACGGGCGCTGGGACGTGGCGCCCAGACTGCACGGTGCAGCGGCGAATAGTGGAGCACGCGAGGTACTATGGCGTCCCATCTGACATTCTCGACTAACCCAGCAGGCAAGAAGGTACGTCCAGGTACCTTCCCCCGGTCTCATACGTCCACTGGTTCAGCCCCGTTTAACACGCCCCAGTGTGGTTGGAACAGAGGCAGACCCAAGTTCTTTGTTGGCCTGGCTTTTTTTTTCTTCACGCCGTGGTTTGTCCTGGCATCAGGCACATACACACAACGGTACATTGTAGCCTCGCGAGGTGTGGTGTGGATGAGTGGTTTCCTGTTTTCCAGCCTCTACTCCCGTTCATCGAGTCAGGGCATCTGGACGGAACACATGCAAGGTTGTTGCCGAGCAGGTAACTGGTCATGGAATCACTTCATTATGAGGGTGGGAAAGTTTGATGGAGGGACGGTCAATATGGTCCAGAAGGGACTAGAGCGGGCTTTTCCTGGTCTGGGGGGGTGGAGGTGGCTTCCAGGTCCCCATTTCGTGCAACAGGGTGCTGGAAAGTCGCTACTCGTGGCTAGGCGACCAGCCAACAGAGGTCCCGGTCAGGATGAAGGGAATCGGACGGGAGCGAATGATTGGGAGGGATAGCAATGCAGAATCACCAACGGAAGAAACCCAGTAGGCACCACCCAGGTAATATGCTGTTGGACGGGTCTCCTGCACGATGCTCGGTATCCCACGGACATGTCGGGATATAATGCAATTCCAATGTGCCCGCATTCAAAGTCTTCACGCGCGTGAGGGGAAGGAAGCGTACGCATTTCAGGTTGTGCACTGTACTGGATGTCGTCGCCGGGTGGACTGATTGATCAACTTAAGTAATCATCTGTGATGGATGGATACCACCCAGCGCCAAGCCAACTTTGCCATCCAACGCACACTCGAGGCGATGGAAGATGGTGCCCCCGCAACTGTCTTCCATCAAGATGT